ATAGCAGCAGCTGGACTATTTTTATTTTACAGAGGCATTGCTACCCTGTTTAAGGGCAGTTTAAGACCATTTAACTTGAAGTCAAAGGCTTTAAGTATTATTGTATAGTTTTTTAATGGTTTCAAATGAAGTTCAAAGCTGGTGTCAAACATTTGTTTTTTAGCAGCTACAGCCTCTAATGTCTGAACCACATTTCCGTTAAAGTGGAAGTGTAAAGCTTTACAATGAGCATTAGTGTTAATGAAAGTTGAAAAATCTTGAACAATTATTTCAATCACATGCCTGACAAAATCTAAACCCAAAAACACACCCTGAAATCAAGACATGCCTTGGGATACAGGACAGTTTATCCATATCTTTCTTCACTACACATCACGAATTTGAAGGCCAATAATTTTGCATTTCTTAATCAAGAGGATAGATACTTGCCTTTCATCTTAAGAATTATCAAGCGTATTACAAATACACACATTGATTCCTTTATGATGTGGAAACAGTTAAAAACCACAAAAAGATTTAGCAACACAACGACAGCAATTAAATTGTAGTTGTTATTTTTTCCAAACTGTGGAGAAATAAAACCAACAGAATAGTTACAGCAGAATTCCTTATGTTTTACCTCATACTGGTCGAAATTAGCATCTCCAAACTGTCCCTTCTGCAGGCGATGCACAAGATCAACTTCTTCATCAGAAAGACGGATATCCATCCCAGTCATCTTATCATGGACTGTGCGCCTGGGGAACAGAGAAGATGACACAGGATAACTTTTAGTAAAATTCTTTTTGCCTCCCACTGAAAAGGACTTTACTAAACGAAGCAACCCAGGTAGAAATCACTGCTCATCATCTCTTTGCTTTTCCTCATCATTGTGCAGCAATCACTGCAGTGTCTGCTGAAGCCACACATTTTTCAACACAACCTTACAAAGATTATCACACAGTAAAAGGTTTTATACCTGGAAACCTTTTTGAAATGCAGGAGTAAATTAAAAGAAAACCCCAGAATTCCTTAATAAGCTGGGACACTGGGATCTCTGTTATAAAATGTAAAGCAAGAAACACATTTATAAAGATAGTAAACTCAAGAAAACAGTTACTAGTGATTATCTAAACAGTTTCTGTTCTAAAAAGTATAATTCGGAAATAAACAAAAAGTTCTACATCTTTAAAAGGAGGAAATTGAAACATAAAACCTAAGATTGCTTTTTTCCTGAAACGCTACACATCGCTGTGAAATGCATACCAGTAATCTGGGTTTTCCATCTTGTCCAGGAACTCATCCAGTTCATCTTTGTTTCTTATTGGCTTGTAGATCTTCTTCCCATCCAGGTCATACCCAATATGGGGATAATCCTTGTACCACTCCATAGGAATATTACCAACAGTATTGCGGATATCCTGAAAAGGGTAAAGTTGAAGATTATTACAACATTATTTAAAAAATGTGTAGTTGCAAAAACTCTCTTGGTAAAATATGACGTAGCATGCACACTGACCACAAAAAATGGCTTTTATTCAATGACCACTCGCCTCTACCAAAATGTACATTAGATTAATTGCTGGACAGCAATGTTTCCTTTATTCTCTTTTACAGTGAAGTCTTGCTGTTTAGATTTTGGCTTAAGCCCTTCGATGAGCAACCAGGAGACCCTTGTTGACCTGTTGAAACCATCACATTCAAACTGGCTTCCATCACCTCAACATAATGCAAACCTGTTACATCACACTGGTCAACTATAAAAAAAAAAACTATATTAACAGTATGTATATTTAAAATAATTTTTGAAAGAGAACATGCAAGAGCAAAAAATTTCTATAGTTCTTTATTCTTTAAACTCTACACTACACCTGTAAAAGACCCCCCCCCGCCCAAAAAAAAGGGACAAGCAGTTTGCTTTGTCATGCTTAGCCGCATTTTAGTTGTGCTACGTCCTAGCAGCGAACTGAACGTGCAAAAAGTCTATAACTCTTTGAGCTCGCTCACACTCATTTCATCAGAGAAAAATTCAGTTAAACAAAAGAAAAGTTGTTCTTCTGCTACTGACCAAACCGTTAATAACTTCTGTAAAGTGTTATTAACATTTACAAGGCAATTATAGCTAAGAGCAGAACAGAATTTCATGAATGTAAAAAAAAAATGGGAAATGTTATCTTCAAAGCCTGATTTCTAAAAACCTAATGTTAACACTGAAATCTCCCTGTGGATACATAATCAATAAAAGAATCAAGATCACCAGGTTAACTAGCCAGCCAAAAAGATTCTAAGACAGAAACAGAAAAAGACATTTACTTTGCTGAAATTCACATGCTTTGGAGTATACTTAAAAAGTGATTTTAACTGAGTCTAGATTAGAGGAGGACATACTGAACATCTCTTATGTGTCTTATTTCAATCCCAAGCACTTTTAAAGGTATTTTAATAATAAAACAAACACCGGGTATTTAACTATGTCGAAGTCAGAATTAATGCCTCAGGTTCTCAAAAAACATTCACTTGAAAACAAAAACTAAACTGTTTTTTAAGACAATGCACAGAAACTTCATTTCACAGTATTCCCCTGTGAATGTATTTCATTTCCCCGCACTAGCAAGCAAATAGTGCAGATTTAATGGTGAGCAGGCTCGGTGGGCAATTCCTTGCCTTTTTGAAAATGGGTAAATTGTGAACCTTCCACTATTCCAGAGACCTGGAGCCCCACGGAATTTGGAGGGGTCTCATTTCCCCCTGAGTAAGCTCCCAGGCCCAGCCGCCAATGGCAGCTCAAAAACATGCCTCTCGGCACTCAGCTCTGTCTTTCTAACAGTCGGGCAGGTAGGTCACGTCCAAGTCGGTCAACGAGCATGAATAAAATCACCTATGCTAATTTGAAATTTCCTGCCTGGAAACTCAAGCTCTTATAAAAAGAAGTACACCTACTGTGAAAATCATTTCAGAAGTGCCTCATATCATAAACTAACCATTTCCCTTCGCTTAAGCCATAGGCAAGCAATTAGTGCAGGCAACAAATGTGCCCTTACAACAGCTGAATAGCAGGCTTCTATGCTGCAGTAGTACTTCAAGACCAGAAACTTTACTTTCACTTGTCAGTCAGAATGAGATACAACTGGAAAATAATGCCAAAGAAATTCACCAAGTTCAGAATTGCACACTTCAGTACAAAACTGAACTGCAAGTTCATTTCTCCTCTTCTTCTTCTGGGGAGGAAGTGGTCATACATACAGTATGCAATTACTGAATGAGGGGCAAATGCAAATTACTCCCATTGCATTTATGTTGATTGCTTTTATCCAGTCGTGTTCAAGAGCGTTTTAATTGATGTGATGCCTGTCAAAAATGTTAAACTGCTTACTACATGACTGTGTTGTAAAAAACAGGTAAGTAAAAAGACAATGTAACATCCTTTTCTGACTGGAAAGGATACAGCAAACTGGTTAAATAAACCTCAAATCTCATTGAAACACTAGAAAATAGAAACATAAAACATATGGTAAAGTTATTAATGTCAAACAGAGTTAAAACTTATTGGGTATTAATCCGTTGGTTACTCTAAATCTGGAAACCCAAACATAGAAAAGAAACTAAAAAAGCCATCACTTGGTTATTTTGACCAAATCCTCACAAATGGTAACTCTTGTTATGGTAAAATCCTTACTTTAGCTATTTTTCTGAAGTGAGAGTGGGAGAGCACTTCGAAAAGTGACCTCTAACAAAATAGAAAATCAAATAATTTTGTATATTCTGCTAAAATCTGAACCGACATTCAAAATAGGTCATTGACGCGGATAAACCAAATCGCAATACTGACATGCGGACACAGAATTTTTTTTTTTTTTTTTACTGTTGGAGGTATTTGTGATACCCAGTATGGTTCAGGTGTTTTGTTGTGAAGAATATTTTTTGCAAGCATATTCAAAGAGCTCATCTTGCCACCTGGGGGCCAAGAACCAGTTTTGAGTTGCATTCTGGGAGGAAAAAAAATAAACAAAAAGAATCCCACTTCCATTTCCAACAGATTTCCGAAGTTAGCCGAAAAGCCTTGGCAATGCAGCGGACTGGGAAAGCTGGGCCCTGGTTTTTCTTCCCCGGAGCGAAGCTTTATGAGGCCTGGCCGAAGGGCTCCCCTGGGGACTGGCTCTCCAGCTGCCACTTTACAACACGACGACATCAAATAGAGGGGGCCGCGGGCAGAGCTGGCCTCACATTTCTCCCAGATTTCCACAGCCGAGTAAAACAACACGCCCCGCGTTTCACGAGCGCCGACTGTTTTTTAAAAGACATTTCAGGACTCTCTAAATCCTTTGAGGTCTCTAGTACTGTCCCCCCCAAAAAAAGACCTAACCTCTCCACTGCTGAGGGCATAGAGGGTATATCCCTTTCGTTTATTCAAGGTCAGAAACATAATTCCATGATAAATTTGGTGGTAACCAAAGACCGCATTCAATCAAAAAACAGTGTTCTACGGTAGTAGGTTATTTTTCTTTTTGCAAAGATTATACAATGAACAAAACTTGAGTATTCAAGCCATTTGGGGAGACAAAACAAAGATGCCGGTGGTGAAACCATAATGTCAGACGGTGCTACAACAATTTTTCTTTCAGATCGCAGAGGATATTAAAATCACAGAGTAAAGCTGATGTCAAGAAAACTGCAAGGACATTGGTTTGACCTTCAAAAAGACAACTGACCTGTGTATGTTGGCTAACCATGTAATGGGAAAGCAGGGACTGTGGACAAAAGTGAATATCTTTTGTTTTCTTTGACCCGCCTTCCTGCGAGTCCTTCTTTCACAAGGACAAACTGCAATGCTTTATATATTAAGGCAATTTTAAGAACTGTAACCAGCAATGAGCAAGTATTTCTTGATGAGTGTCTTGAGTGTGTTGCTGTGCCGGTCTTCATGCAATGACAACTGCAGAGCTCATTTATGTTGTCACGATTAAGATTTACACCTGGTATGAATGCTCACTCAGGAAAGGAAAAGCTTTTCCTTCCCATTTTTCAAAAACCCTTCAGAATGAATGAGTTCACTATGTCAATTATTCTTCGGTGAATTAACTCTCCCTTAGAGTTTGGTATAGTAATTTAAACCGCTAATTTTTAGGCTGTTTTGATGAAGACCACCAGAAAGATTGATCTGATGTTTTACCACCTCCCCAGTGGCAATGCTCTAATGGGAAGTAGGAGAGTTCCTGCCAAAGGCCCAAGTTTGACCCCTTATTCTTAAACATAATTATATTCCATTTGTGCTATTTTAACGTACACATTTAGGACTCAGCTTTATGTTAAAGTACAGAGCACTACATTATATGTGTGCCTTAAAAACAGCATGAAGAAATCAACTACATAGAAAAATCATACAAACTCTACTATGTTTTGCCATTTTAAGCCTCTTATTCCAACCGTTGTGGCGACAAAAACTTTTCGAACCAAGAATTGGCTGAAGATACCATTAAGCTTCTTCCGATATTTACTGTGGATGTTACACAGCACGGAGGCCAGCAGTGTGTTCTGAGGGGGTACAGAATCACGAACACACCTGTTGATGTGATGTCCTCACATGTGTAATGTATTGATGTCCATGGAAACATGCTCCCTGCGGTTCCATTTATACATGTACCGAATTTCATTGCTCCCCAATGCATGGGTCTCACGATACAACTGTTTGAAGTGGCTAGCTTACTCATACCCACACTCACACGCATACATTTGTACTTGTGAATTCACTGCATTGAAAAAGGCGGAGAAAAGTAATTGTTACTGTTTCGTTTGAAAACCTCACACACCTACATGCACAGTTACGCTGGCGTACTTCATTACTGAGCTGAAAATTCATAACCTGTCTGCACGAGCATTTAAGAAGTGAGTGCTGGGAGGGCAAACTAGACTGATGCCCCTAGTGAGGGCTAATTAGAGACAATTAACATCAAACAGGCCTTGAGTTGCAGACCCCAAGGCTAGATAAAGATAAAGCACAGCATATAGGTAACATAAATACACTACTAAATATGGTGAGATAACAACTAATCAGGATTTACAGATGCTTTTACAAAATTAAAAAGCTGATTGCATTTTTTTTTAAATGAATATACATTATTATAATGAAATATGCAAGTCCAGGGACACAAGTATAAGAACAATGGAGGCTTGTTCTGATGGTGACCTCCACCACTTGTGAATGTGAAATTCTTTCAGAAAACTGCCTTAGTAACAATCTTCGGGTCCCTCAGCCAGATAGTGTGCTATGCCAGGTGTGGCTTGGTTAACTGAAATAACCTGTCCAACCCAGGATATTGACATTTCATGGAAAACAAAAATTAAATCAGAATTCCCTCTTAAAAACGAGTGTTAATCGGTTCCGCTTTATTACCCCTTTAGAAGAAACGCAGTAAAAATAAGC